ATGATATTTTATCGGTGGTATATATATCTATATCTATATCACTTATTACAATTAGCCTATTAAATATATTTTCATTTGAATAATCATACTTCTTTGCTTTGAATTAAGAACATGGAATATTTGTATCTTTATTTATTGATGTTTGTAATTTTTCTGGTTAGCGTTTTTTTAGCGAGTTAGTTTTCTACACAACTCCGCCTGGAGTCCCTCCGGGGGCTACTGCCGGTCCCAAGCCCGGATAAAGGAGGAGGGTTGGGCATGTGGTTAGCGTCCCCATCCCATAGAAAACTAACTCGTTAAAAAAACGCTAACCAGAAAAAAATATTCAAACCTTTTAAACTCTGCCCCGGGAGTCAGAAGGTCTTCATTTAGAAGAACTATGACGCCTCATGATGAAAGCCGAATTCCTTCGAAAGTTACGAGGCCGATGCCCTATCTGACAACCAGAGCGACCATTTATTTAGGTACATGGAATGTTCGTACAATGTGGGACACCGGGAGAGCCCTCCAAATTGCTGCAGAAAATTGCTGCATTGCTAGTTTTCTACACAAATTTCTATCAATTTTCTTCCATCCTATTTAGTTTTCAAAGTGAACACTTTTGAATATAAATCTAAATTATCTGAGCATTTACTGAACAAACATATTTGTGTTGATCTCAATTGTTCATTAAAATATTGATGATTATACATTGTTGCCGTGTATCATCTCATTCTATCTCAGTGATCAAATATTATGGTATTCTCTATTGTCTCTACTGTATAGTGAACATAATATGAAGCTTTGTTATAATAAATAGTATCACTTTCTATGAATATGTTTATGTGACTGACCAACACTTATACACACAGAACGAATATAAATGAAATTCTCATTTTACAAAAAATTACCACGTTTCTAAAAACAAAATGAAGTGAAGATAAATCTTTTGGCTCCATGACCAAACCATCCAGCTCAGAGAACAAAACTCCACGAAATCTTTTGGCTGTCAGTTCATTGAAGGTTTTGCTTCATCTATGAATAAATAATGTAACCATTTACCATTTATTTATCATTCGAATGAGTTTTGTGATTATCTTCTCATAGAATCATCTAGTATTGATGCCCAACGTTTAATAATCTTTGGAATGTCCATTGACAATCCTGATTCACTAAAACATGACAAGATATTTCACTGAATTTTGATCTGTCTTTATCATGTATCATTAGACATTGTATAGTGGGAAGCAGTTTTAGTAAACGTATTGGCAGATGTGTTTATAAGTTCCTGTAGACACATTCTACTGTTGACAAAATGTATGTTTGTGTTGAATGTTGATTAAGCTTGGACATCATTGTTAAGTTGAAGTGATCAGATTTCATGTGAGGTGGAATACATCTTGACATATCAAATGGTAATGAAATTTGTGTTCACTTTTCAACAGAATTGATATGAATGTTTTTGTGATGAAGCATTCCTAGTTGAATATTTAAATAGCAGGTCAGGTCTGCCCTGTCTTGACAATTTCAGATTCATATTTTCACATGATTTTATTAAGGAGATATTTTGATTGAGTTAGACAATGTTCGGTGTTTGTAGGCTGTTGGCAGAAAATCGTGTAGTCCGGTTTTATGGTAGTCTGTACAAGTCAGTAAAGTGTACCCTCAATCTTGAAGAAACTACTACTCCTTGTATGATCCAAACTCATATCACTCAACTTTGCCATATGACGATTAACTGTTACCTTACTCAAATCACAACTGACCTCTTGTAAGACACAGATGTTCGTATTTACTGACCAAAGCACAGTTGTTGATATCCTGTTTGTCTAATAATCAAATACTAATGGAATTCCGTCAATCAGGTATTATACCCATACTAGTTATCAGTAACTAGTTATTAGTAATTTTTAGATCAAAAAGACCTGTTGTGATAATTTTACAATGAAATTTCCGTCTGAAAATATCTACAAGTTTCGTACAAGTTTCCCATTCATGCATTTTACTGAAATAAGGACAATAACATAAATTCTCTATTTTTGCCAGTTTCTTGTCAGGCTGCCTTCATCTTTATATCACGACATTGAATAATTCCCCATCTGTTCGACAGTGGACATTGTGTTGATGTCCTAAAGTCTTTCAAAATAATTAGTGAACAAAGAACATCAAATTTACGACGGTTTGCCGAAGCAACCGGCACAAAATTAACCAAATCAATTTTGTATATCCAGAACTATTCAGTTGACTTGCTGTTGTGAATACATTCATAAATGTTTATCGTGCAGTTCTTCTCTTCGTGACACTAATTATAACACTATGATAAGTAAACTTATCGTTACCCAATATTCTGTGTAGATATATTCTACTGCTGACCAGATGCGTGTATTCGTTGAATATTGATAAAGGTTGTTTATAACGGTTGAGTGAGTTAGAACGAATGTTTCATCAACGTAAACGTTTTCGATACGTCTGTCATTTGGCATTGAAATTCGTTTTCGTAAATTAACGGAAATGAAGGATTTCTTACTATTTAATATGTTTGTGTAAATATTCAACCTATCGAATATGCTTGGAATTTCTCACACTATTGGTGAATGTGGATTCGCTGAATATTTGAAAAGGAAATATTTCTATTTCTTTGAAATGTATATTTATAAAAGCTCATTTTTTTCTTTATTTTTAGTTGCCTTAGGCTCTATACTTGGAATATTAATATTCCTTTTGGCCACTCTTCTTGTTGTTTATAGTCTAAGGCATAAGTAAGTTAAAGTGTTTTATTATCTATATTTGTGTATTGATGTGGGATATAACGCTGTATAATGGTTGATTTGTCAGTGTATATAGACATCAGTGGATGTCTAGTATAATTCTTCAACATGAATTATTTACCGACTCCATTTATTTAATACTTGAATAATCTATACTGATTTCCTAAACTCTTTCTAGTCCTTCTACGTAGAAATGTTATACACTTATCACTTAAACAGAATCTGGAAAGTGAGAGGTGTCGAATGAACAGTTAAATCCTGTGGTTTATATGTGACGATAATATCTTCGGAGCATCTAGGTCAGTAATCATCCAACCAAGATATGATGCATAATGCATTGTTTTTGCAGAACTTCCTGAGAAGATTCCATTAAATACCGACTGCAAGAAATATACTTTTTAGCTGTTTCATAGGTAGTGATGAATTTCTACTAACAATTTCTGTGCCATTAAATGTTCATTTACTTTATCATAGTCAAATAGGATTATCACTATGAATAGCAAAATTTACCAAACAATCAATAATGTGATTGTTGGTAAGCAATGCACAAATGTTTTAGGATACAGCTGAAGAAGCAATTGGGGATCTGATGAAAAAGCAATACGAAAAATGACAGAGATCAAAAAGATTCGCGGCACTGCAGTCAATTTCATTTCATGACGCTTGATGTCTATAACCATTAGTTATGGTTGTCTTATTGACCCTAACTAAGCTTTATTCAGCTTACAACTGAATGATATTTAAGTAGCAGCCAATCTCGCATTTGTGCAATCTTATAATGTTGATGGAATTCTGTTAACTATGAAGTTGGTTTAAATCCCACAAGTAATATCAGTTTCCTACAAAGACTACATATATGCCTTACTGGCGAGTGTCATATAACACATAACCCCTACGTCAAAGAAGATTTCCTATTGACTGTCTTCAATTAACTCGAACAGTCTCCGCCTACTAACACAATTCAAATCAACAATCGCTAATAAATTACTCGATTGATATTACGTGTTGAATTAATCATCTCTACTTTATTCCCAATCTGTTTTCGTATGCACATTATACTTTTTAACATAGAATCGTCTAGGTTATCCTTCATCGTATTTTTCTTTTTAGATTATTTGAACATTATCATAAAACTATTGATCTAGCTGCAATTTCATCGTCGAATCGTCTTGGTTCCTGTTCATTGGGAACATTTAGTAGATCTAAAGATACTTTATTATTTCCAACATGTAAAAAATCTCTCATGTCATTTCATAACAATAGTAACAACAGCAACCATAATCACACAATTTTCACCAATGGAAATCTCTTCAAATCTGATCTACATTTATTGAGTCATAATACAATCAATGAAAGTTTACCAGATTTTCAGAATACAGCACAACAACAACAAACATTTTCACTTCATTCATCAACTGTTTCGGGTGTGAATAGAAAACCGTCAAATATTGACTTTATTACAGATGGTCACTTACCACCATGGCGTAATTCTTTTATGAAAAGAAATCACAAAACTCCTACTGCTATTTCAGCATTAACATTGGTACCAAATACACCGAATTCAGATCGTCGACAGATTATGAACTCATTACCATTGCTACGGACAAATTCCACATCTCATATTAGCAGTAATAATGGTGCTCCCTCTTCCTTTAATCATAATGCTAATCATACTAATAGTACTACTAATACTAATAAGAATAATAACCATTCAAGATTTGGAGCATCTAGCGAAACAATTCTATTTTCGCCATTGAATCCACCGAATGGTATGCCACGTTCATGGTGGTTACCATGGCGTAGAAGTATGCGAAAATAACGTCGATTATATACACAGTTACAAAGACGTCAGGAAATTCAATCATTATCTCAACGGGGTCTTTTAGAATCATCTGGTAGTTTTTTAGAGAAATCCACTCCACAATTACCAAATAATCGTCATTTAATGACATCATCAAATAATAGTGGGCTATTGGTCAATGACAATGTTTCAAGATTTGGTACAACTGCTGAACCATCATTACCTGCGATACCTATATCATCATCGCCATCATCAACATCATCGAATTGATTCATCAACATCCATACTCAAATCATATTTTTTTAAGATCGGGAAGATCTGGCAGTGAAAGAACACGACAAAGTACAAAGACGTTGATCACGACCACAGACAACGGTAGTAATTCCGGGATAGTTAGCGCTTTATAAGCAAATGATGATCAAGCGAATTCACCAATTTATACAAAGTATCCTATGAATTTGCCAAATAATAATAATAATAGTAATGGAGACAATACATTACCGTCTATTTATCCCAAGACTAATTCAAATATACAATCTATTTCATGGATCAATGTGAATGATAATGATTTACCATGGAAATTTACACCACCAAGTAGAAATAGTTTTAGTAATGGTATTCGACGATTATCATCATTTTTTCGTAGTTTTAATCAAAGTAACGGATCATTTACACCACCAAGATATCATAATAACAATAATAGTAATGGTTATGGATTATCTTGTAAAAAGTCATCTTTAAGGTCTTCATCATTCAATACATCACGTACAGAGATGATGCCATCAATGCCAGTATTACCTACATTTAACTATTTGACTACATCAAATAATAATAATAATAATAGTGGTAATATTGTACCATTGACCAGTCATTATCCGGTCAATAAACAACATTTTGATTCATTTCGATTGAATGGTCGTCATGTTACTCATCCGTTGATACAACCAGCTTTGCAATCAATGTCGGGTAGGTAACATAGTTTTCCTTCATATTTTCGGTTAAAATTTCACACTACTTGCAAATAGTCATATAATAACTATTGTACTTATCCCCTTTGCGTTCAATGTTGATTGACCTGCATTTTCAATTCATGTTTAATTATTGCTGTAGGAGGTTTAGACAGATTATTGAATCTCATGGATTATATCATGGACTAATAATAATAATAATTATATGGTAAAGAACTTGGATTTAACAGCTGATTGCCGACGATATCGACGCAGAAACATTATGAGAGATAGTCACTGGTTCCGTTTCTATGATTTCGGTGGTAGTTATAAAACAACGTGATCCAGACAAATCTCTGTTAGTAGAGTTTGCCCAGCTGAAATGCAAATCTCAAATACACTTTTCAACGTTAAACGGTTACCACAGATCCATCAGCTAGTGCAAAGCTACGAAGATTGGAAACAAAAGTTCTAAGAGTATCACAACAGGAATCCGAAAGACAAGTGAGGCTAAGGAATCCAAAGAGTTCCAAAAGCCTTTTAGTGACTTCATTGCAAATGACCGTGTGAAAGAACGCGAGAATCAGGTTTTGTGGAGGTCGTTGAGCTTTTAACAAGCAAACAATAGGTGACAGATATCCATGGTACTTCAGTAGCATGATATGTTTGCCGAAATTGATGGATTCGAGTTTGGCAAGGAATCTTCGTAAAGCCCAAGCCACAAGATAACTTCTGAGGGTGTCGTGTCAGTTCGGGTGGTGGCCGCCGCCATCCGTGTTTATCCGCTAGCTGATTCATGAGACAATTCGCGGCGATTTATTGGCTTATAAACTATTATGTAGGATTAATTCCGGACTGTGCAACAACATGACAGCCACTATCGAACACCTTTCGCGGACATTTTCGGACATTTCATCTTTCAGTTGAAATTAAAAGAAGATCAGGGAAGGCCGCTCAAGCACTGGACAAGAGGATGTTGCTTGTTCGACAAAGGACGGAATGTCATCAGACATCAAGACTGACACATCGGAAATGGCAGTAGGAGATGTAATGCAACAGTTGGTAAATGAAACGTTAGAACCCCATTCACACTTCTCAAAGAGATCAAACCTTATTCAGACCATGAAAAAAGAGTGGCTAGCAATCGCTTAGAAGCAAAATTCTTTTTTTTTTGAATTGTGCTCTTGGGAATGAATCTATTGGATATTCCAAACTTTTCACTACCCATCCGCCGTGCATTTTCAGTACTACTCTCTCAATCTCCACAATGGCCGGGAATCAACTTTGAGTTGTCACAGACTCTGCAACATGTCACTTTTTGGAATACGTAAAACCCATTGGATACAAGCTGTACAGGAAAATATTGGATTCGAGAAATATACTGTTGTACTGCAGTCATGCGTGAAAAGTGAACAATAAGTTCAGCTGTTTTATTGATGACACATGTGTGTAATAAATGTTTGCATTCATCGATATCCATTATCTGTTACTTTGATAAAAGTGAACATGTCAATTTCGAACTAAGCGTATTAATCGCTACACTCTTTCTTACTGAACATGAACTCTGTCCATACTCACTACCATTCAGTCGACATTGACTAAAGTGTTTCTCAATTTTGAAACGTTTGCGAATGCTGTTCATATTGAAAATATTAGGTTCTGTGACACCAACTCAGAATAGCCTTGTAAAAAACGAACAATAAGTAATCTACATAATACTGAACAAATTTTCTTAACCTTGAAATATTCATTTCACATGTTCATATGAAGAACATTATGTCTCCATTGACATTAATGTAGTAATGTCTTATGAGAAGTTGACAGTGATTTTATGGGATTGATTCACTATTCCATTAACTACTGCTTCTGTGGGTACGATGAACTGAACAAACACCCATGTGAACTTTTATCAAGCTCTACTGAATAAGCTACATAATTACCTAAAAATACTGCGACTACATGTAATGACAATGAATAATAATAATTTGATAATAGGCCCGACATTAGTGAGACAATTTTATGAATAATTGAAAACAATTCTGATGTTCATGATTCCGCAAAATCACCCAACAGCTGTTTATTCGACCGCAGAATGTGATACTCGTGGAAACAATATTTTGGTTACTGTCGACATCTTTTTGTATCCAAAATTCACCATCCCATTGCCAAGAATTACATTTTGCAATTATAACGAAATCATGAATAATTTGGGCTTCTTCCGCTGGAATTGTTATTCATTTACGAAAGTGGAAACTGTTAGTCATTCAACAGTAATTGACTCATTACGTTTGGTGTGAACACATTCAGGTCTACGTCTACTTGACCAATAAGGAACGTTTGTTCTATCTCGGTCGCTTAATCTATTTAGAGCCAACGGTAAAATGTGCCACTCAAATGGGCTTTTTGTGATTGTTCGGAAGTTACAATCTCACATTCAACGACGATGAAGTCGTCTGACAGGATTTATTTCATTAAACATAAATTCAAATGTAAAAATGCAAATCTAGATATCCAATCAAGACAGGTTTTGTTACTTGTGTTTTAACCTATCAAATCAAAGCAATGCACCATTGGTAAACAGTTCACAAATCATTACAAGTAACAAAATGTTTGTTTGTGAAAATATGAGCACACATTTTGACCTACATTAAAAACCGCTCACTTTGTTTATACTATTGCTAATCATATCCAATATAATTTTGATCAATAGAGGCCTTGAAATTTCAACCAACGGTGGATAAGTGTCAGCCTTTAGAGTACAACAGCTAGAAGTATATTGCATTACGATGAGTTCGTCTTCCACGATTAGTGGTCACAATGATCATATGATTCTATGAAACGTGATGTTTTTAATGGTCAATTTGGATCGTCGAATAAGAAAGAAACAAACAAACACATAGACTTTTTTTTATAAAAACGACAATGTCTAACAACAATCATTAACGTTGTGAACAAGAAGATGAGGTGAGTGTTGACTGTACAGTTAAAGCAAATGAGTGTGTTATATGAACTTCGATTTGTTTCAATGAAATAAGGCTGTCTATTTTTATCTGTACCATTCCAGACATAGCTATGCAACTGGCCAATTTACTCTGCTCTATTCCATCATCGTATTAATTTATAAGTTCTTCGACTGCCATGACATTTGCACAAAACCTGAATCTTGGTATTATGAAAAAGTAATTTTCGAAAGCGATGCATATAAATATGTAAGTAATCAGTCCGGTTCCAATACACATATTCAGTCTCATCACTATTATTATTCCCAGACAATCCGCTCTAATCAGTCTCCTCCAGTTGTTAGAGGCAGGTTTGAAAAATTAGAGGATGATAAAGTGAGTTGACTAAATTTTGAAATCGAGGTACTAATCCATATGTTCGCTTATAATCAGGAAATTGATGCGAAATTCCCGTTTAAGTTTTACGGTGCTACAGTCATCAAATTCGAAATAGACGTTTTTGGTAAGAAGAACATTTTTATCGAACTAAAATTGTTACCGAGTTTTGTTTATTCACATTTCATTTCGTGGACCAAAGTTGCTTTAATTTCTTCAGTAAATCAGTTTTATGCAATTTGTAGCATTCAAAACGTCTACTGATATCTTATTTCGTTCAAGTTGTAAACAGTTTAAAGCCTTACAGAAATTTAATTACAGTCCATGAAACTCATTTTGTCTCCAGTTAATCTATAAGTTTTTGATTCATTCTGTACAGATTGTCAATTAAATTTTATGTTTTCATTCAATAAACACAGGCACAATCACTATACACGGTCAAGAGTACTTAGGAGATATTAGCAATTATGTGGGAGGCGATTTTTATACGCAATCTGAAATTTCGGATCAGCGTGAGTACCTCTATTATTCGATGATAATTTGCTTCGCCTTTCATTTCTCACTTTTATTTTGCATAAATGATTCAATATTTGACCTAAGTATATTTTGGGAGCTGACCAGTACACAGTGAATAACTTACTTGTGTGATTTGATGCCCTAAAATGTGTACGCAACACGTACACACCACTGTCAAGTGAAAACCATGGTTCACTTCAAAATAAACGCAAATTGATTGAGTAGAAATAATAAATCAACGGAATCCAACTGAACACATGCACAACAATAAACGATGTTGTGTGAGAAGTCATTTTGGATCGTTAAATCACATCGACTACCAAATTATATTTGATGACTTCCAGTTTTTTTCTTTGACTTACTTCACAAAGAATTAATTTCTCTTAGTAACTATCCGTGAACACTGTGTATTCATCACATTTTTGACTTTCATATTCGTATGGATCTAAGACAGCCATTATTAATAATAATGACAGATGATAAAAATCACCATAAACAATGCACTGGTATAAGATGATTGATTCGACCCGGAACAACTACAACATCGAAATGAAGTCCACTCATTTTGTTCACTTATTCCATTTAGTGACATGAAAGTAGAATTTCTGAGTAATAATTGGTTCAATTGAGGAAACGCTACTCGATTGGAATAACGCAATCTCAGAAAATGATTTTGTATGTGTATTGTCGTTTAGATATTATCGGTCTATTAGATTGTCTGAAGCTTTTAAAATCAACGCTTTGGAAGTAAAATATTCTTCTCAGTTAGTTAGATTGAAATAATTTTGAGTCTCCTTGCAACTCCCATTTAATTTAACCGGTTTACCTATATCGTGAAAGAAAGATGATAACTCGTGTCCAAACTCATTTTCTGCGGATATTCATTATACATAAATATAAAAACACAAATATTTTTACTTTCATCATTTCAGAGGAACTATTAGCCGTCAGAGAGTCTTATTATCTAGAAGCTGATGATGAAAGTATGTATCCATAAAATGATTATTTGATTATACATGAATCATTTAAACACTTACACCATCATTCGCAGTACTTGCTTACACATTTTCTGTCCATTTTACATCACTGAATTCCTTTCAAAAACTGACAGAGGTAATAAAGTGTAACCATCCCAGAAAATTAGGAAGAGGGAATTATATGTTGAATCCATCGATT